ACCCCCCCCCCCCCCCCCCCCCGCCCAGCTCCTTATACGCTACACCACACGCCACGTTCTAACCTGCGTCGCCGTCGCTACAGACAAAGAAATGGAGAGAGCTCAGGCTACGGATAGGGTCTGCGTACCCCCTCCCCTCCCCATTCTATTCCTCAAGAACTCAAATAATGGCGAAGGCGGTCCAATCAACCAACCAATCAAGGCGGCGGAGGCGGCGGCGGCTGCTGCTGCTTCTTTTCCTCACCTCGCACGCCGATAGGGCCGTGTTGTAGCTGCACGCGTCGGCCACCTCTACCGGATCAGGCGGAGGACCGCCGCCGCCGCCGCCGTTAGCGGCACCGCTGCCGTCCACCACCTCGGTGAAAAAGTCGAGGGCCTCCTCCCACTGGCCGGCGGCGATGCACGCGGACATGACCGCGTTGTGGGTGATGATGTTGGGGCGCACGCCGGCCCTCTCCATCTCGCGGAAGATGGACAGGGCCTCCTCGGACAGACCGCAGCTGCCGCAGGCGGAGATCGCCGTGGTGAAGCTGATCACGTCCGGCTTGATCCCGACCTGTGGTGGTGGCGCTGTCAGTGTTGGATAACGCTACGCTGCTGCTGCTGCTGCCGCCGTTGTTGTCTTTTTACGTTACAATGAAGGAACAACGAATTCTATCTCCATCCGCAGTAGACAAGCCTCCTACTTCAACTAGATAAATCAGCAAACGAAACCATAGTGCTTGCGGACACTTACCTAAAGGTGTTTTTTCAACCGCTGCAAGACTGACTGATGTCTGCAAAATTGGCCAGCCGGTTGGCGCGGTCGATGCTAATATATAAAGACACACATACACACAAATCCAACTCCTGCGCCCCCTCTGTCGGTGAAACCCTTCGAATAGTGTTCGCGTTTCTTATCTCGCTACAAAGACTGACATTCTTTCATCGACTAGCGCGGTCGATGCTGATTCAACGACACACAGCAGCAGCAGTCACCCACCTCTGACATCTCGCGGAATATCTCGATCGCCTTCTCCCCCTGCCCGGCCTTCCCGCAGGCCGCCACGACGATGTTGTACGTCACCACGTCCGGCTCCACCCCGCCGACCTCGCGCATGAAGTGCAGCAGGTCGAGGGCCTCCTCCCACTCCCCGCAGTCGGTGCAGGTGCAGATGGCGAGGTTGTAGTTGAACACGTTCGGCTTGACCGGCCAGTCGTGGATCTCGCGCAGCGTGGAGGCCGCCGCCTGCGGTAAGAGGGTTTTGTTGATGTTGTTGTTGTTGCTGTTGTTGTTGTTGTTGTTGTTGATGTTGTGGCTGTTGTTGTTAAAAGTTGTTGTCCATGGTGGGGATGCTGGCGTCGTGTAGGGCTGGGGTGGTACTTCAGGGAAAACCCACGTCAACGCTAGTGTGTCTGGCAGCCTGGTACGTCTTGCAAGACTAACTACAATTTTTTTTCTTTTTTTTTGGCTCGTTGAGGTTCTCTGGGCTGTTGGAGTCAAAAACACGTCAGCTGAGGGAGCTATTGACATTTGGAAACGTCAAACTGCAGCTGGCAGCTAGCTGTGGGTTAGTGTTGCTGCCTGCTTTGGTTTTTTTCATCTTGCATCTCCCCTCGGTGAAACTGTTGTGCTTCCATCAGCCCACTCCGGAGGGAGCACTTGTACACATGTACATTCTGGATAGGCACACGCCAGTACAAATCGTTCGTGACAGCTGGTTCAGTGCCATGCTTGAAAACACACACACACACACACAAAAACATGCCCGTGGCACTCGCTGGCATACCCCGCCACCGGCCAATGACGAGAAAACAAAAAAAAAATGAAAGAAAAAAAAACAAAACAAGACGTGGGAACAAGTGAAGCACCACCTGCCAGTGATCCACCCTGCGGAAGGCGTTGAAGACCGCCGAGTACACCGACGTCTTGAGCGGCACGCCGCCGTCCTTCATCTCTATCAGGAGACTAGCCGCCTCGTCAGCCTTGCCGCACCTCCCGCACACCTACCCCGCATCACGTAATCCGCGCGCCGTCGGTTGAGTACAATTGCTGTAGGTGTTCTAAGAGTACGTCATCTCTTGTTGTGCGGGATCATGGGACCACGAATGGCTCTTTCACGAGTTACAATGGGCAAAGCTAAGGGACCAACGAGCGGCTAATTCCCGAGTCAAACTGCGGAAAGCCGCCCTAATTCATTCATCGTGGTATGCACGTACGCATGCCATGTGACTCGGTACCAAATCCAAGCTATCGTTTCTCAGCTTTTCGTACACGACACACATGCTCTTCGTGGGCAAAAGAAAAGCCGCAAATAACAATATATTATCTTAGCAGGGCACAAAGACATCCTCGCAGAGTGCAAAGCAGGGCAGCGTCGTTGCAGGAACTGAACATCCCTGCCGCGTCTGGGCGCCAAGCCATACCGCAGGGGTTCCGCGGCAACACCTCTCGGGGCACTGAAAAACTAAAACGTTACGTCAGTCAAATTACACACACTGCTGTTACCCTAGCCGTTTGTTCATGTTCACAACTTTTCGAGCACGAAAACATAAGCAGCAGCAGCAGCAGCAGCAGCAGCAGCAGCAACAACAACAACAGCAGCAGCAATAGCAGCAGCAACAGCAGCCGCAGCAGCCGTGCGAGCGCGCACCTTTATCGCCGCCTGGTAGGTGATGTGATTCGGCTTGATGCCGTACTCGGCCTCCATCTCCCGGATCATGCTCAGGGCCAGCTCCCAGTCCCCCCCCGTGACGCAGGCCGGGATAGCGCAGTTGTAGCTCACAACGTCAAGCTCTATCCCCGACGCCCGCGCGTCCCTCATGAGGCCCAGGGCTTCCTGGACCCGCCCGGCCTTGCCGCACGCGTCCAGCGCAGCGTTCACGCAGTACCTGTTTTTTTAACGGGAACGGCGGCGGTAGTGCCGGCGA